CAACCTGGCTGACTCTATGATTCTATGTCAAGTGAAGCACTCATGATTTGTGCTACATGGAGTTTAACTTCACTGACCTTGCAAAACACAAGCATTGTGTTTAGACAGACTCCACTGAACAGAAGCAGAGTCCTGTGCCTGAATGAACTCCCTTACCTTATCTTCAGACTTGTAGAAGACTTTGTGGGGAGAGCCCAAGGTGCTGAGCACATCCTGGCAGGAGTCCCCGAAGTACACGCAGCGCTCGAATACCCGCATCTTGGCGTCGGCCAGCACACCTGGGCCACAGCCTGCCAACAGCAAACAACTCAGCATGCATCCCTCCTCATCACAGCACATCAGCACATCAACACCAAAACCTTAGCATTCCTCTATTTATCACAAACCAAACAGCTGCATTCCTCAGACAACAGTGCCAAACTAAACTTAACCATTTACTTCACAACAGTTTAAATATTTCTTATCAAAGCAATGCCCGTGCTGACTGTTGCTTTCCCTGTTTGAACCTCCAGTTTCCATCACACTGTCTTCACTTCCCTGCCATTCACACGAACATGACTTGTTTCCTAGCCTGTCTCAATCTGATCTGCAGGCTACTAACAGTAAACACCAGGAATTATTTCTAACCCTAAAATAATATACTTTAGCAGCTAGAGAATTACCTCCAGTTAAAAAAGTCAAGCCCATAAAGTCAAATTCCTCATCCACATTGTCTCAGAAAGCACACATTCTTTACTCAAGATTCCCATAACTTACTAAATCAATAGCAAGTATGTTCCTGTGCAAATAAGGTTAAAACCAGATCTTATTGAATAGCCATTACACAGATGAGTTGCTGACATCCGTTAGCAGATGCTAAGAACTGGAAAGATCTTAGTTTGTGAGCCCAATTGCTTTCAGGAATGCAACATCTTACATTTACGAGAAGGCACACACACACATGCAGCAGTTACTGCAGAATACAGGATGTGCTCTAAGCACACACAGCTTTCCTCACTGTGCATTATTTATGTAGCTCGTTACCCAATAAAATAAATCACGGAAATCCAATTGAGTCATCCTTGATTTCCTAAACAACAAGAACTTCAAATTTATACACTGCCAGAGAAAGCTGTGCCACAACAGGTGTGGCACTATGTTCTACAAGAGTCTCTGCAAACTTAGCAAGACAAGAACAGCACGTGTCCAGATTGCCTCTCTGCAAGTTTTAGCCTGAACAGTCATATATTTTAATAACTATTTTACTCAATAGCAACATTTCCTTTAAGCTGCAGAGAGATATATTTTTAACTAAACTTGACACTATCTTAAGCGTCCAATTTCTCAAAATCACTTGCATTATTATGGTGCTGTAGCTAACTCCTTTCCAAGTACATGAGGATAGATATTCCCTGCACTAAATAGCTCTACATTATCTTCCTTGGTAACAAGAAAAGCAAAATAATTTGACAAGATCTGCTCCATTTTGATTTGTAATTTTTTATTCTTCATCTTAAATTTTCTCTTTTTGCATAGTGGGTAAGTATCCCAAGTATTTCCTCAATACACATATAGCTAGTAATCAGAACAGGTCAAAAGCTGAGCCTCCTAATGAAAACGGTTATAAGTTGTTAAAAACATATCAGCATTTTTTTCCTTGAAAACACTGACAAATCTCAAGTTATGGTGACTGAACAAAACTCCTCTGCAGTTGTTATACCTTTCCCTAATTTCTAAGCACCCTCCCATCTCTCAAAGCACATACAAGGAGAAGTAATCTTCAGCCTCACCACCGTCTCCTACAGCAAATGAAAACAGAACTGGATTCAAAGTGCAGTTTAAGGCTACAGTATTGATGCAGTCTCTTGTTGGCATTTTTAAACACCTTCCATATTTAATCACAAAAATATCAACAACACAAAGCTCCCTGGAATCTCAGAAAATGCACACATGCACAAAGTTTCTTTTTCTCATGGGTTTTTCTTCAGTGGTATACTAGAAAAGTGATCTGTTTTATTCCACATACACCTAGAGACAAATTCTGTATCTGCAAACAGGCTCCAAGGACTTGGAATACCCAACAACAAGGCTACAGTCTACAGGGATTTCTCCAGGGCCAGAAAAATGCAGCAGATTCACCTTCATGGGGTTTTTATTGGCTTTTGTTTCAAATAGTTCAAAATAGAGTCAATAAAACACATTGAAAGCACCTACGAAAATCATTGCAAATAACTTATGCTTAATTTTTACATGTTTATCCCTCTTTTCCTGAGGAAAGCAACCAGGTCAATGTTCTGAGTGTCTCTGATACCTGCAGTGAGTAGGCGAAGCCGTAAACCTGAGGGTCCAGTTCCATCTCTCAGAACATCAACGTTCTCGGCGTACACATTACCAAGGAAACAGCTGAGAGGCATCAAGGGAGCCCTGAAACCAATGACACAAAATGTGCATAGGATTCCCTTCATCTTCAAATTCCCCATTAACAAGCTGGTACCAGTTCACTGGAACAGAGCACATTAATTTCGACAAAGCTGCATTTAACTGAGACTGAAGATTACAAGTTGTGTTAAACAGAAGGATATCAAGTTTCAAAGACTCCAGGAATTACAGAAACGGTATCTAGCCTTTGGATACTACCTATGAGGACATGTCCTCCCACATGTCTCTTGGGAAAAAAATGGAAGTTGTGCAGTTTTTAAAGATACCTAAACTCCTTGAGATAGGCATAGCACCCAAGTGCAGCAGAAAAGCCTTCTCCATGAAGCCTTCACTGCTCTTGAAGAGGTACTTCATAGCCCAGAACATGAAATCAGCTTGTGCAGGTACACTAAATACTGCTGTGCTGCTTTACTGGGAAAGTTCTCATTTTAATTCAGTAACAATATTATTTTAGAAAACAATAACAGCCCCAAGCGAGATACTTGCAATGGAAAGGCTGCTTTGCTTGTATATTAGTTTGTATATGCTTCCTTAAACTCCCTGTTCTTACATTAATTCCTCCTCCAAGTGAACGCCTTGAGCTAAAAGTCAGGCTTTGAGCTCTCACACAGACACACCCCAGAGCCCCATGTGACAATCGGTGCTTTCACTAAAACCCACCATGCCACAGATGGGCACAGAAAACAGCATTTTTCTCAAGTGCACTTATTTCTAATTAGGAGATGATGTCTGCATAAACAAGGTTCTCCTGTGCTGAGCAGCAATCCAAGGGTATGTTTATCTCCTGGCACTAAAACTCAACTGTCTCTGCAAAAACTACCACCTTATTAGTTTTGGTATTTATAAACTGGAAGGAAGAATTTACAGAAGTGTCTTTAATTTTTCCTTGAGTAAGGAGCCGCAGGAACAATGCTTTTAGAACAGGCAAAACATCACATGTTATACAAAAAATTACTGCTTAAAAAAAAAAAAATAAAGACAGAATACAATACCATAGAAATCATTAACCATACTAAAATATAACTACTCCATTAGTATTAAGGCACGAAGATTAGTTTTCTCATTCTCAGCCTAGAAGGGTTTGGGTTGGAAGGGACCTTAAACATCACCAAGTTCCAACCTCTCTGCCATGGGCAGGGACACCTTCCACTAGACCAGGCTGCTCAAAGCCCCATCCTACCTGGCCTGGAACATAGTAAACTCAGACAGGTAATTGCAAATAAATTCAATATATGGTAGATTACGCATATGGCATATTTTATTATTTTTGTATAGCTCAAAAGTTTAGGATCCTTGGTAGGACTCTGCCACAACATACATAGTATCAATACACTACAAGATTACTGACTGCCTACATCAAGCTTGATTTGCTCAGGGAGAGGCCATTAGCATACAAACAAAACCTAGAGTAAGAACAGCCTAACCATGTCTTACTAGATTCACTACATTTCTCCCTTTATTGAATGAATTCATTTTCAAGCCAATTGAATTTGCCTACTACAACTGAGCCAAGCTGATTTTATAACAACATAAATCAAATCAACACTTGATTATAAAGTCTGAGAAAAATCTGATGAAATTTATAAGGTCAGACACCTACAGAAATCTGAGAGATTGGTATCTAGAGACACTCTGCACCACCAAATTCATGAAGGACCCAAACTGAACTAAAAAAAGTATATGATTACGTTTAGCAACTGCAAAACACAAAATAAATGATCAAAAGAGCACAAGCAGCTGGACATACTTGGTATCCTGCAGACTGTTTCCGTTGTAGATGTACATACGTTTCACAGTCGCACCATGTGGAATTTGCAGAGAGGCTAAACCATGGGCAAAGTTAGGCTGTGGAAATACAAAATCATTCTTGTTACACAACACAGTAGACACATCAGCTCAAAGTCAGAAATTACATTAGAAATACAATATATGCTTACCAATTCAACTAAGTCTCCAGCCAAAGACAAGGGAAGAAAACAAAAAGGAAAAAAAACCAACCTTCTAGATGATGTTTCTTTACATTGCACCATTCTAGGATTCCCAAGCTGGGGTGAAAGGCTCACTGTGTTTATCCATCAAGAGATGGCATTAGTCTCACAATTAGCCACGGTGCGTACTGAGAATTCACATTTTTTCTTCATTTGCTCCCTGGCAGCTACTGATATCAAACTATTTGTACTGACACACTGTATCTACCATCTCAGAAATCATATGTCTAAAAGAAAAACTTGTTTTGTCTCCCACTGCATTAATTTCAGCCTTTTCACATTTTTGCTGGTTCACAAAATGCCCTTATCTGATGAACAGAAACTTGTCCATTACATAGATTTTCCGCTCTCCTTATCACCACATTCTTATACACATTGTTTTGATAGGGATTTTGAGTGGCTCTCATCAAGCAGAGTGTGCTAACCAAGTCAGATTGACTCTTCCCGCACCAGAATGAATTTCTTTCAGTTCTGAAGATGACAGGACCTTCATTAAGACCAACAACATACTTTGCTGTCACCAAACAGAAAAACCTAAACTTTGTCACATGCACTTAACAAAAACAAGATGCACAATATGCAAACTCTTACCTGGTCTACGCTAGCAAAGTATTATGTAAGATAAACACAAAACAATCGCTCTTGGGAAAGAAAATTAACCTAGAGCATTAACTTTCACTGCTGTAGCTATTTAGAAGGGAACTTCCACTACTTAGCAGATCTAGAGACACCTCAATTTCAATTCTCTTTCTCAATTTGCCTAGCACATGAACACCTTTAGCTTTCTAAAGTAGTCAGACTTTAGATTACTTTTTAACAAGCTCATGTCCTAGCCACGGAGCCAAAGAGGTGCCTGGGCCATATATGCCTCATTTCTTAACAGAAACAGAGTGAGTAGATTTTCACATTCTCACTGCAGCTTGTTACCAGCTACATAAAAAAAACCCTCCAAAGTTTTCTTCAGAGTTTTTTAATTTACATAAGCAGAGATTACACTGCTTAGCTAAGTAGTTTAGTATTCCTATATGATCCTCTCTGAACCTGACAGATTTTGACTTACTGAAATTACAACTCACTCTGCAGTCTTTTTAATGTTCCTGTCTAAAAGCTCCACAAATAATCATCTTCCCTGGGAACCATTTCATGCTACACTGTTTCTACACAGATCTACGTCTACCCAATCACATTCTTGGAAAGACTTTCGCCTTTTCGCTCTGTGCGAGCAGCATTTTACTAACTTCACTAGAACAACTGAATCAAAGACTTTCAGAATGCAAAATTATTTTCTCCACTGTTCTGGCAGATTTATTGAGACATCTTTTAGGCAGTCCTGCAAGGAGTAGGACTCAATGATCCCTATTGGTCCCTTCCAACTTGAGATTTTTATGGTCTTTTCAAATCTTTGGTATTACAGTCAACTTTCTTAGCAGCCTGGCCACTTCATTCATCAACACCCTGGGAACTCTTGCATGAAAAGCAACTACTCTTAGTTGGGACATTCTTGTTCAGCTTATTAGGCTTCTATTTACCTTCCAATATTTCTGAAATCCAACTGACCTTCACTACAGCTAAGTAATAACTTCCCCTGGTTATCCTATGTTCTCTCACATGTCAATCACAAGCACTAAAGTACCAGGCTGTTACATAAAACCTGTGCCATCATATTGGTTGATTTCTTCCCCTTTGTTTTGGCTCTTTATATGCTCCTTTATTTTAATACCATACAGCACACATTCTTTTTTACTGACAAGCCTAATTTATACAACTGAGAGCATTTCTATTCTCAGACAAAACAAGTTACACATACATTTTTCTTAACCCAAGAGAAAACCACAGAGGATCTGATCTTGTTTCCCCTTCAGACAGTGATTTCCAAAGACTTCAGAGAACACAGTAATACGTTCAATTATTCAGTAACTCATCTGAACATTTGGTGAATATGCAAACAGGCATTACAAATAAAGCTCATTCATTTGGCTTTCTAAAAGCACTCACAGTGAAGGACACTTAAGAGGAAAATGTATTTTATGAACTCTATCCTAGTTTAGTTGCATAATCACTTTGATGAGATTCAAAAATATCTGATAAAAGAACAGCCTCCCAGTAGATTGCTTAATATTTATGTATTTGCATAGACAGCACTCATATTTTTAGAAGACTCCTTTCAAAGCAGAATTGCAAGTCCCAGTTCATGATGCAAGCAAAACCTCTAAGCACATGCCTTCTGCTAACAGGAAGCAAATTTTTAACTTTGAAATGGTTACACAGCATGAATAAGGAGCACAACTGAGGAGTTAAGTTCCTTCTAAATTATTGGTTTCTTTTGCTTGCAAAAGACAGTGAGACACATAGTGGGTGATACTTTGCAAGTCCCATAGAGGCAAAAAGACCATCCATTAGCTAAGAATGATTGCTAACCTCATACTTCGGAGTTTCAGTCCAGGAGTCTAACTGAAAAGAAAATGACAGTCCTCTGAAATTGAGGTGAAAGAGTTGCTCAGCTGAGTTATACACTAAAAGGGAAAAGAAAGCAAAAACAGTGTTACTAAAATAATCTAAGAATTCTCCAGTTCACATCTAACAGCACTTTCATCACCTCAGTGAATCTGCTACATCTCAAAATGCAGGGAGAATACAATTACATAGGACAATAATAGCTTTGATTTAATTTGTTGCAGTAAAAACACAGCAATAAGAGAAGCCATAGATTCATTAGAGCTGCCTGTGCAAGCCTGTAGGCCACTAGCCTATCCCTAATGATACAATTATACAGGATGACACAATCAATTACACCTGAATATCACTCAAGTAGTTTAAACAGCCACTATCAGCACAAAACAATTCTGTCCATTGTTATGTAAAACGCTGTACAATATAAACCAGAAAGCCTTTTAGACAGATGTGCCCAGACCACTGAGAAATTCCTTACTTCACACCACTGGGAAGCACATTCCTGGGTGTGAGCTCACAGGTACCACCCTGTGACCTCCACTTCCCCCTCTCCTCCCCAGAGGAGCTCCCATGCCCAGATCAGCTATGTGTGTTCCCCAGCAATGCAGCACATGGAGGAAATGCTTCAGACACACAAGTCCTTGGCAGTTTATAATGGTAATTAGAAACAGCATCACCAGGAGCAGCAGCCGAGTGGTCAGTGCCGACAAAGAGCACCAATAAATCAGAGTGGGCACAGACTTCCAGCTGTCATCACATCACGGGATGTCCTGATTCATGGCAATAAACTGCATAACATTAACTACAAACAACAACAAATGTCATCCCAGTCCTCACTCGAACAAGACATACTGTTTTCTGAGACTGTGGAAAGATGAAAAAACAATCCCAGAGGGCTGGGAGTATGGGAACAGTTTTGGGATTGATGCTACCAAACTTCAACCTGTGCCCGGTAGCTGCTGGGGGAACACAATGTTCCTGTAACACCCAGAAGCTGACAGCTTGAAAACAGCAGAGGCAATAAACAATAACGAAACTCCACAACAAGAGAAGTTGCTTTCTTCCACCCTACCAAAGAAAATTGGTTCAATATTCCTTTTTTTCTTACAATTGTATATTTAAGATGACATAGCATACAGAGAAAATACATATAAATACATGTTTTATTCCCTCTCTCCTGAAGTCTCTTTCAAATGTTCCACTTGAGACCTATCACAAGATGTCTGGACGATGCCAGACCACCAGGACAGAAAAATAACATCTGAGCAATAAGCATTAAGCTTTCAGAAGTCATCATTTGCCTTTCCTGCAGAATGTGCTGGTTAAGAGCCTTTTCCCTGCTTGTCACTCAAAGGAAAACGTGTGGGGAAAGGGAAATGTTTTGATCGGCAGGAAAATTACACAAATCTTTCTCATGTGATAAATTATGATGCATCTTTTCCAAAGCCCACAGCCAGCTGGAGAACTGTTTTTCCCCTAGTCATGCCAAGTGTGATATCTGATTATACAAATCGCATCAGTTCCCATCCCCTGCAATGTTTGTTGGTGCTTAGGCTTAAAGGGAAAGGAATGTTTTTATCCTTAGGAAGTTCTCTCATATCTCCCCAAGATCACGGGTCACAACCACATAACTGAACAAGGTGAGGATTTTCTAAAATTATTTTTTGAAATTTATTTACTACACAGGTAATTCCATTCAAAATTGCTGATAGAAGCTTCTTTGCTGCTGCTCTCTGGGTGGGGGAAAGGGAAGGAGTTTGCCTTCTAGGAAGGCACCACAGTGTGACCAGCTGGGAAACATTTCTGTAGAGCAGGATGGGACAAAGCCACCAACACCAGCGAGGCTGCAGAACAGACACAGTTCTTATAAAAGCAGAGGCAGATCCAAAGTCAAGTCTTACTGGAATCAAGCACAAGACTTTTCTGGCACCTCAGGAGAGCCTGGGCAACAGCTGAAGTCTGAGAGTTCCAGAGCTAGAAGACAGGAACTCCCTCCATCTCTACAAGGCCACTGTGGTAGAAGGGAAGGATGGGTTTTTTTTCTCCTACCTTATGACTTCAGCCTAAAACCACAGCCCTGATACACTCTGAATGGCACTTCGGCAAACAGCCACATCCATGAGGACTCAGGACAGGATGTGATTTCCACAGAACTACTGGCAAAAGCAAGCACTTCCCAGCAGGAGGTCAGGTCAGAGACTCATGGAAATGTGGGAAAAAAATCCTGGCTTTGATGAAGCTACTGACCTCCAAAGTGGTCATATTTCACTGAGCCCCATGACAAAGGTACTGCAATGTTTCACAGTAACATTAGCCAAAATAATGAAGCTGGTTACAATTTTTCTGATGACTCTCCTCTTTTAAAACCACTGACCTGGCAAAACCAAAACTACTCACTGAAGGTGGGTTTCAACACAAAACTGTTGCTAACGTTTGGAAATGTATTTTGAAATTACCACTGTATCCTGTTGCAGGAAAGTTCTGCTGCAACCACCTTGGTTTTAAGTGAAAGGCAACATTTTGTGTGCAATTCTAGTGGAAGTTAACAGAGATAAACAACACAATACTTTAAAAGTGTTTACACTGGGGGTTTGGAAGAGTAATAGTACAGAAAAGGGATGGTTATTTCCTTTTCATTCAAGAAAACTGCCATTTGGTACTTTGGTCACATTGAGACGAAGGTTTCTCCTCCCACCCTGGTTCTGATTTTTCTGAGACATGAAAGCACCATCACCATCCCTCCCACAAGCTGAAAACTATTCTGGTCTTTTGCCTTTTCTGTTTCAGAAAACACAAAGAAAAGAGAGTTATCAAAAAATTATTGCATAATACACTTCAAACTGTTTATGACAGGCAGCTTAATATAGAGCATTTACTTCTGCTAAGTAGGCTGTTAATGGAAGAAGTATCTCTCTAATGAGGAAACTGAATAAGCAAATGCACTAGTGAAATGGTAATAGAGGCCAACATTTTGATACATAAATTTTCATGTCTACATGTCACTAGATGAAAAGATGTTATGAAAAACTACCATCAGATGAAGCAAGTGTGCAAGATTTCTTAATTGAATATGACAGGTGCACAAGATCTGCAAATTCAGCACAAGCACATGTGGTGCCAAACTATGTTTTTAAGTGCTTACATATGATTTTATGCAGTAATCAAACATGCTACTGCTACCATAAGCAATGCTTATAGCTAAGCATGTATTTTTATGGTTCATAATATCACAATTTTTAAAGTGCTTCACCCCTAAATATTTGCAAATAAAATATCATCACAGAACAAGTGAAAATTATAAGCTGTCCAAGATATGGAACCACTTTTACCCTTCTTAAATTCTACAGTCTCTTGTACATACTATTTCCATTATAGGTCTAACCATATATATCAGTTTCTGCCTAAGAGGAAATGTTAAGGTCATGACCAAAGTTTACAAAGCCTAATTCTGGTCCTTGGAGCACTATGGCTAAAAATCCTCCAAACCACATTTATCTCCATCTGATATTCATCTACTACTGCAGCCTTTTATGCAATGATACTGCTTGGGCCACATGACCCTCCACAGTTAATAAATCCTGGCCTGTAATGTGCAAGATTGTCTGCAGAGAGCAGAGACAAAGACTGGATATGCAATCGCCATCCATCACAAAGAACACTTGGCTGTTTGGGATCAGCCTGACTACTGCAAATGGCCTGGGGTAAGCTAAAAATAGAAAATGAGCCTCTAAAAACGGTATCTTGTCTACATGGAGTTAATGCTCTTTCTTGTTGTGCCAGTCTGTGCCTCCATTTCTTGAAGGTTCCTAGGCAGTTTAATTATAAATATCCTCTTTAGAGTTTCACCAGTGGCTTATTCTCATCTCCTGACAAACCCCTGAAATACACTCTCTGCTTTCATATATAAACAAGGAGCTTAAAGATAGTCTTTTTCCAGCTACAGAGATGGTGAACAGCCAAGTAGCTGTGCAAGAGCCAGAGTGGGTTCAGCCAGGTTAAACAAACTTGTCCTGCTTCTGGCCATGCTGCAGGTAGGCTGACTTTGCACCTCCCCAGTGCTCCCAGTACCAGGAAGGAGACACAGGGAAATGGTAAGCCAGTTACACACAGGCTCAGATTTGATCCTGCCCTAGCACAGGGATGACCACATTCTCAGAGCATGGAACCTGAGCAAACAGTCCTGGCTGACTCTGCACAGAGATCAGCTCAAATGTCTGTATGTTCATGGTATACACAATCCCTAAGGACACTCAAGAGCTGACCATGCATAAAAACCTGTAACAACAGCAGCAGCAACAACAAAGCTCACAGGTTTCTGGTACTGGCAGTTCAAAACAGATCATTAATGATAGCTGAACACACCATTCTGTGCCAAATGACTCTCTGCCTCACCATTTCACTTAAAAAAATGTCACAATTAAACTCACAGAACATTTTATATGATTTCCCAGCTGTAAGAATATGACCATTCTGGAACACAACTTGAGATCGTATGACAACAGAACTGCCTACACATTGCTCTAGGCAGACAAACCAGAAAGGTTTCCTAGAAAGAGGTCTGTCAGTCTAGGTGTGCTGCTCAGAAACACTTTGGCTTACCTCCTGGATGTGTTGCTCCAAATGACTGATCAATTTGTTCAATGGTTGGAGCAATTGCCTGAGAGTTAAAATGGACACCACTGAAAAAGAAAACAAAATTAACCTGCCTTAAGAATACTGAACCGATGCTACAAATATTTCTAATGGCAGTACCACATTTGAATTGTAAGAAGACTCCAAGACTGAAGAAAAGAGTAAACTGGCAATTTAATCAACCACTATGTTCAAGAAAAGATGATTATCTACACTCCTTTATGACAGTCACTCCTACCAAGAAGAAAATATAGGAAGTCTTAAATCACTTACCAATATTTTAACTTCACCTTAGTCAAGTCATAAACTTCAATCACCTGAAACGCAAGAAACAAACATTACCATACTTCACACATTTGCCAATCATTACAGAGGCAAATTCATGGCAAAAGGCACAACTAGCTGGTGCTGCTCACTGCCCTCCTTCCAGAGCTCTGCCAGGAGAAATCAGCTTGGCAGAGATGGAACTCCAAGAACTGACTCAGCAACTGCACATCTAATCATAAACTTCAATCACCTGAAACGCAAGAAACAAACATTACCATACTTCACACATTTGCCAATCATTACAGAGGCAAATTCATGGCAAAAGGCACAACTAGCTGGTGCTGCTCACTGCCCTCCTTCCAGAGCTCTGCCAGGAGAAATCAGCTTGGCAGAGATGGAACTCCAAGAACTGACTCAGCAACTGCACATCTAAAACAAGTACTGATCTGGGTTCATCTGTACCCTGTGTACATCAGCAGTGCCTGCAGGAAGCAACCTTTTCACTGGCACATCTGCATTTCTACAAAGTTGACTCTTGGGCAAACTCAGAGGAAAGCAACAGCAAAGATTAGCTAATTAGAGAATACTCTAATGAATGTCAAACAGTTGGCCATTCCTTGGGTTGCTCTTATTACCCTGAAGAATGCCTGTGCAGGGCAGCAGGTCCTAACACTGACCCCACTGTTCTACCTTTCCACCTTATTCTGAAGTGAAAGATGAACACAGCAGGACTAAGAGTAGCAGTATCCCTTTTAATACTACATAAAATGGCAACTTGCAATCTCTCCAAGACAATTGGAAGAGCAGCCCACAAGGAATCAGACCAAGCCATAACACCTAGTTCTGTTACTCAGTAAATGTTTTAGACCTCACTGAATATTCCAAGGAGCTTCCCTCTCTGCAGATATTAGGTATGGATCCTTTATTCTGAATACATTACTGCAAACATGCATCTGAGACTGATTTCCTAAGATTTTTATGTGACTATTACTGGATTTTGAGGCTAGACTGGGCTTCAAGCAGATCATCTTTGGCAAGTAACCATGGACAGATAGAAGCTTCTTCCACCCTACATTCATGTTCCTGTTACAGCAGGAAAGAAAACCCAGAGCATATCATAACTGCTGTAAAGAAAAGGTAAAGCACTTCTTATTGTTCTGTATAACCCTCCAGCAAATCATTGGCAGACTGAGAAAGAACTCACTCTTCAGCTAGAGAACCAAGAAGAATTTCCCAGGGAACTTGCTACCAAATGTGGCTTTAAAGCCTAAAAATATCACCAGCTAAGAAGGAAGTTTTGGTTTTGGGAGATGCCCAGCAAATAACCCTAAATAAAACTTGCAATTGCTATATATTTAGAAAAAAAAACCCCAAACCAACATTTAATGGCATTTCAGAATATAAGCAACAAGTAGAGCACAAAGCAAGTAACAAACTAACATTCTGGCAGAACCAACATAAAAGAACAAATAAATTTTTCTTCTTAATAAAGTACACTTGGAATTATGCTTCTTGGAAAAACCTGGTTATCCAGTATTTTAATTCAAATGCAGCTTGACATGTCCAGGTTTCTTATACTGCACAGCCTGTTAAAAAACAAAGGCTACTTTTATGAAAAGCTAGAAATTATTTTACATTTTTTTACTGACCTTGCATATTTTTCCCCCCACCAAATGTTTCTGAAAATAGGAGAGAACTAGTCCCACCCCAGATCTAATTTTGCAGCAACTACTGTAGAGCACTGGGCACTTTCCTGAAGTTCTGCTGAAACACACTGGGAAGGAGGAGTCCAACAGGAAGGAGCAGTGCATGAGGAATAACACATTGCACAAAAGAGGTTCCCTGCAACAGCAATACCCTGACAGCAGCCAACGGGCACGAGTTTGCCATTCGTCCTCTTCCCATGACTCAGATTTATTCATGTCAACATTTCTTTTTACTCACAGCATGGAAGAAACAAGCACAACTTAAAAATTAAAGGCAGGCAAAGGATCTCATGAAAGTCATGAAAAGATGTATTTTGAAGAACAGGCCATAGCACTAAAAAAGGTTTTCTTTTATGAATTACAGAAGCTACACTGACAAAAGGATTAATGTCCTTCTTTCTATGCGCAGAGAACAAAAATGGAGAAAACCAAGGACCATTCAGTGATGGATTGACTACACAGCCACAAGGGAGCTGATTTAAATGAGTAAAACCCAATGTTTTATCACACTCACTGTTTTGATAATTACTACTGAGTAAGACTCAAAAATGTTCAGGAGTCTACTAACCAGCAATAACAGACCAATGCTGAAAAATCTAACTCTTTGTCCAGTTCAGAGGGAGCACACATGAGAGATCTTGATGCTAAAATTCACAGCAATGTTTTCAGAACCTGGTCCTGATCTGCCAATTCACATTAGCTCATGTTAGTAACATCTCCTGCAGTGCTTTGGCTACTGAAGGTGAGCTGAGAGACTATGCACAAGCCTTTCTCCCCTCCCTGACAAAGCCAGGAAACTTGTTAGGAATATTGCTATGACTTTTTAGGTTGGATGTTAGGAAGAGATTTTTTATGGAAAGAGTAATCACACACTGGAATGTGCTGCCCAGGGAGGTGGTGGATTCCCCATCCCTGGAGGTTTTCAAGATGAGACTGGATGTGACACTTAGTGCCATGGTTGAGTAATGATGGTAGGGTTGGACTCAATCTTTGAGGTCTCTTCTAACCTGGTTGATTCTATGACTTATTCCTGCATCAGCTTCTTTAAAACTGTCAAGAAATTCCATTTTAGCAGCCTGTATTTCAAACTCTTTCACAGTCAAATCTAATAGCAAGTGTGTACTAAAAAAACAACACACAAAGCAGAAAAAAGGCCTCCTGATTTTTCCAGTTTTGCTGCTGCTGAGCAACACTCAACACATGGAGTCACACCATCTTAAAAACAGGCAGTACTTACTCTACACCTACACTATTCTTTGACAGTCCTCTTGCTCACTTCTGAACTGATCCCATCACACTTCTTCTACAAAGCTTTCTGACCACTTTTACAAATCTAAGTTTTTATAGCACTGTATGATTTCCACAGCTTGACTTTTCACAGTTCAAACAAACAAAAGGTATCTGATCTAGGCCTACACTAGATCACTGAACCACAACATACCAGAAGAGACTGTTTTTCCTGTATATTTTTAAACAAACCTAAAAACACATACCAGAAGAGTTTGGGGGTTCTATTTTTTCTTTTTAACAAAATTTTAAAGCACATTATGGAGAGAGGCAAGGAATGCTCTTGCTTAGTTGCTAGAACACTTGGGTGTTGAAATGACAAAATCAGACCCTCAGAAACAGTGAAGAGACAAGGCATACACTAGTTATAGCACTTCAAAAGCACTACAGGATTGCAACATCCAAAAAGAAGCCACTAAGCAAGCCATGCACTTGAAATGTTTATGCCAGTTTTGAGTTTAGTTGCCTTAAGAATTAAATACACTTGGAAAGATTTCACACAGCTTACACTGATGAAGATCAACCTGACAATATTTCCAAGCTATTATCTTAAAAACTGTAAGTTAACATATGCAATCTGAATAATTAAGTTCTGAAACTTGACAATAATAAAAATAAATTATTATAGAATTACTTCATGAACAGAAACTGCCATAAGGGAATTACAAACAGAAATCTGGCAAAAAAAGAAGTGCTCAGTTGTCCCCCAGCTGAGCTCAATTTGAACTGAGAATTGTCCTTCAAAGTGTGTATTTTTATAGTCAATACAAAGGAAATTTTGAAAAAGAAAAATACAAGCATACCATGGTGTCACAGGTTATTCCTGGAGAAATAAGTACTTCCAACAACTAATCTGGGCTGCTATTCAACAGTTTCATATGCACAGAGTACACAAAGAGCTCAAGTTTCAGCTGACACCACATTGCTACTCTCTTACAGTATTTTTTGGGATAAGGCACTAGGCTGAACTTTGGAGAGTGATGTTTTTCTGCTGGTTTTATTTTAGTAAAGGGAACAAGGCTCCACCTACCACTGTTTCAAACCCTGGAAATATGGATGTGAGCTCCATATTCCAGACTTACCTAATGGGTAAACATTCCATTTTTGAATATCACATTGAACCCCACACTTCTGCTTTCAAATGTTAAATACCACAGCAGTTAGAGAAGTTCACTCTCACTCAGTTAGCCAAACCCACACCTAAGCACTTCATTCACAGAGAAATTTATGCACACCAGGTGAGAACCACAGTGACAATTGTTCAGCACAGAAGGACCTGCTGAAAGGAACACCCTCAATAAGCACTGAGTTCTATACAGATATTTTAAATGCTTCAGCTAAAAAAAAGCTTTTCAAAATTTTGTACTCATCTAGTCATACCTCTACAGTCCCACAGGTGCCCATTTTGTATGGATGAAACATACCACTTCAATCAGGTCTTTTGCACAGATAAATGCTATAGGAGGGCAGTGACCAGCCTGCCTTTTATTTTGCATCTTAGCTATACAAACAGAGAGGTATATCAACACTTAGTCACCTAAATGCACAAAAGCAGACATGAAGACACCAACTGCTAGAATAAAGACTCATCCAGAACAAACTGAAGTCAGTGTAGGAGGCTGCTGCTCACGACAGGCCTGAATACAGCCTTCTGGGAAACTTCATGCACTCACAGCCACTCAATTACTATGTGAAGCTAACTCAACTGAAACCATGAATAGCAGGAAGATTAAATCCAAAAATCAAATGGCAGTGCAGAAAAAGGCACAACCTGGGCAGAGACCAACACTGGTTTGCATCAATCAACAATCCAATTTCAAATCTGAGGCTTAGCTTTAGCAAATGCAACTCAAGACAAGATGAGCAAGTGAGACCACACTGGACCATCACACTCCTATGGCATTTGCACAGTCCACAGCACAGTTTAAAGTGTCTTAATCCTATAAACAAAGATTTAACCCCCAAACTGAAGAAATGCAGTTCATAATCACAAGACAGCACTACATATATGAGAAATTACATGTCTAAAACAGCCACATAATTATGCTCTTTTAAGTGTCAATAAATCTAACGGTTTTGGTTTGCATTGTGTGTTGGCAGGAAAGATGTTTTATTACCTTAAGTCTCTGATTGAAAGCATCAAACAGCAGTTTGATTCCATCCTGAGTCAGGTTAAGGATGAGGTCATGGCTAAGAGGTGACTGTAAAACAAAAAAAGCTGTTAGGCTTTTATTTCAAGACTTCTTTGTTAACATATATATCATTGTATAAACACAAATCGGTTACTTTGGCAAAACAAAAGTGCCTCAGGAAACAACCACTTGTTCAACAAATAACTAAAATACATTTGGCCAGACCTCTCAACCCCTTCAGTTTCCTTATGAAAAAGAAACAGAAATGCCTGTGTAAGATCTGCACCCTGCAATGACTCCTAAAAGGGTACTCTGTCCATTACTTTAAGTGGGAGAAAAACAGGAGTCAAAACAAAACAAAGCACCCCATGAAACCAAACAACCAAACAAACACAACCCCACCTTGAAAATGAACATTCCAAGCTTAGCATCAGAGACACCATGTAGGGACAGCCTGCTGCACTCTTGGTGCACAAAAATAATGGCCCTCACCAAGTGTCACATCAGAACCAAGCATGGACTTGACAAAAAGATGGTGAGAGCTTTCCACTTCAAAAATCAAACTGTCAGTCTTTTTCAAGCCTCAAAAGGAAGGCTTCAGACTCTTATGTTGTGAATTTAGGTTTCCTTAGTTACTGTGAATCATAACAACTAAAAGGCTTAATTTGCAGTCTGCTGGAGTCAATAGGAGACATTCCACTGGCTTTCCTGGTGTCTGTATAGGCTCTACGCCCTCTCAGTCTGCTGCAACACTGGGGAAGCTCCTCACTCCTGTACCAGCACAATCCACAGACAGTCAGCTGGCCCCAATTCAGCTGTTTGATCATGCACCATCTAAAGCACACTGGCTTCAAAAGGCTCTACCCTCCACCACTGTCTCCTCAGAGGAGAAGGTGAAATGACAGGCAGACAGCAATATTCCTGCCCTAGAACTGCACCAAGGAGTTATCTAGCAAAAGACAGGATGGGGATGGGACATCTGGGGCACACACAGACTTCTAAAGTGGGTGGCCACACTGTACAGCCCTTTTATGAATTAAGCATAAGCTATCTTACTTTGCTCTACTGGGAGAAGCTCTGTGTTATGACTGTCAGAAGCCAAATTTTCATCCTAAATTTTCTTACCTCTTTATTCTCAAATCAGCCTTGGTACTTTTTGAGCATTTTCACATGCATCTCCCACTCCTACCCAACCCATATACTTAAGTAATCAGATCCTAGACTTCACAGCACTAGGTCAAAACAAGCTACAGGGCTTTCCATCCCCTGTGATGCAGCTTTCCCATTCCCCTTGATCACTGCAGTAGCTTTTCCTGAAGCTGGTTCAGTTTGATCTCATCTTGAACACCAGAGATCTGGCATGTAAGCTCTGTCCTAAATGAACCTTCCACAGTGCCTCACACAATGGCATCAATACCCTGCTCTTGCTGGCAAACTTTTATGGCAGTGTGTAGAATGGAAGCAGCACTGCAATAGAACTATAAGCTTGAGATAAAAAGGCCTGATGTTGATACTGACAGTCTTTTTTTCAATCCCTTACAAATCTAATTTAGAAAGGCTACAGAGAGAGCAAAGAAACCTTGTGATGTTGCATTGAAATACACCAATAGAGTTGTTCTGATACGGGATATGCTCTGCACTTCACCGGTTTCTAAGCAAAATTTTCATAAGGTTATTCCAAAATTAATGAAAGCATTACAAATACTTTTGAGTGGGTGGGGAGAAAGAACAAACATCTGAGGAAAAGCTTAATAATTAGTACAGCAAATAGCTTCTGTTCTACGCTGACATGTTTTCGAACAGAAGAAAAGTTTCAAGAGCACAAATTTAGTTTGTGTGACTTAATACACAAAATAGAACCTCGAGTATGAAACATGATGCCAGGAACCAACAGGAGAGTCCCTCCTAAAGGAAGCAACACAGATGTGCAGTTCCACTGCTAATCTACATAAAGATGCAGAAAAAACTGCTATCACTGAACAATTCCATCAACACAAATCCAGAGGAAGAAGCTTAGGAAAACAAAGGCAATTAAGTATCCTGCTTAAACTGACCAAAAAGGAGTTAAAATTCTTCTACTCACAGAAAAGGATTCATCAAGCTTTTTTTGGCACCGTTTGGGCACCCCATTTATGTCAACTTAAAGAGAGCACTGTGGGCAGATCTAATTGCATTTAATTGCCATATAAATTTTTGAAAGGAAATACTCGCTGCTGGAGTTCCAGGATCAGAAATTCAGTGCTTTAGATGCAACAGCTTTAAGTAACATTTGATCACTGTGCTCAAAGGCATTCTTTTATAAAGCAGAGAGGAAAGACACGAAGGCTGTTCAGGTACAGTTTAGCGAGATAAAAGTTGTGCATGGCAAAGTTTATTTAAAGCTCTGAATCTTCTAAGAACTGAGCTCTGAGCTCTTTGTGCTCAGCTGCTAATGAAGTGCGTGACATTCTGCACCAGGCTGAGGACAGAGCCAGACAGTTAATGGCAGGCCCTGAGTGGCATGTGGAAAAAATGGCACCAGTATCAGGCACTGAATTGCAATAATATACGGAAAACACATAGGCAGCAGAACTATTCCAGAAAGTTGAGAAGTATTATTTTGTTGGACTATGCAGATATTAAAAGACATCTTTACATTTTGGAGAGAGAAACTCTAAATGTGTCCCCCCCAGACACAGTAAAAATTCAGTGTACATGGTCAAGCACAATGCAGCTTTCTAAGAGGTGTAGAAAGCTAAGGAGCAGCACACCTTTCCTTCCAGCACTGGACCATTATTCCTTCTGTGATTCTACAAATCTGAGTGGAACAGGAATCTCATGATTTATCTAACCAAACCTAGAAATAATATGAATGCACTGTGGTAACGAAAAAAACTCCCAAAGATCACAAAACCCAGGAATGCATTCACTGCCAGATGGATGCTTCCATGATTCAGTACAAGGAGCCAGATTTTCCATGTGCAATTCAGTCGTAAAACCTATAAATCTACATAATGTGAAACCAAAACAAGGATAATTCACTAATAGCATGAAATATGTATCCATCAGTGAACACCAGAGTCGAGGCTGCTCTTAGCCATTCAGTATCACTGCAAACAGAGGCCTCAATCTGTATTTTGCAAAAAACTGCCATTCTAGCAACCTTTGCCTTTTTCCTGATGCAAAGATCTGTAATTTGCAACTGTGAGTATAATCTTCTGATTAACAAGAATTTCACATAAAACACATCTGGAGAGTCACAATCCTTTGTCCCATCACACTTCCATCAGAATAAATGTGGGTGTATAACACATTTTATTTGATCTAGCAGAAAAGTTTTACTTCTAGTCTCTCTCTGGATGGAAGTGAAACGTATTAGGAACTCAACACTTGGTTATGAAGAATGATTAAAATATCTATAACTGGTTTAAATAATTGCACCCACTTTCTGCAGACAAAATTGCAGATGAAGAGAGAAAGAGTGGTAACCTTCTCACGGGGTTCATCACCACTGAACCAAACATGAAAGCAGAAAGTAATGAGTGATTCAGTTCTTGAAAATGCTGCAACACTTGACAAGGATAATGCAAAAAGTCTAGAATTAAATCCTCCAGCCAATTACATAACATTTCACTTCTTAAAGGAAAAACAATGCTACCCCACCACTGCATATACCAAACTGATTGCTGTTAAATCACTGCACTGCGCTGAGGATTATTACACTTGATGTGAAACTGCTATAAAAGCCACATCTCTGATGTGATGGCAATAATTTGGTGTCATCCAATGACAAGTAACCCCACAACTCATACAGTGTGTATGTTAGCACGACATGTCAATTCTGGGACACCCCAAAGTGCATTCCCTGTCCAGCCCATGCACTACTCACCTGCTCACTGTAGAGCACCTGGACGTTTTTGATAATGCGACAGTGTTTCTGAAGATTTTTTATTCCTGTAAATAAAACAGTTACAGTTCTTCAGCCCCAGGGCAGCTAATGGCGATTTGAACAGCAAGGTTACAGCTGAGGGAACATCAGCACCATCAGCAAACAGTGCATTACAACAGAAAGGTATGCAGTCAACAAACAAGCCCACCTGACTCATGGCATCAGCACAGACCTGCTGTTTTGAAACTGAAAAGCCATTGTCTATCTACTAGTTTGTTAGGCATATATGAAAGTATCTTTAGACACAAAATTAAACAGCAAAGTTCAGGCAGAAAAAGATCTTTCTACAACCCATGCCCAAAGTTTTCTGCTCTTTGGGGTCATCAATTTAACAACTGATAGAACAGCCTATATAAACTACACTAGAATTGGCTAGAGCACTCCTGTACACATTCAATAGGCTCCCAGACTGCATTTTATGGCACAGACTTTTTATTAACCTTGATAAAGTACTGAGTATTCACACAATACAGACACAAACACTGAAATGGAGCAATGACTCTCCTTAGACCTAATAGCCACATTAGCTGCTGATACAGATACATTTGTGTCAGGGAAGAAACTTTATCTTCTCAGTTTACAGACACAATAAACATACTAAACAATTTGATTCAGTTGAAGTAATACACTTAGAGTCATTCACCCCCTCATACAATTTCAAGGGCTTTTTTTTTCAGTGTATATCTTATCTTTACAGCTATAAATTTTTGAAAGTAGAACGAAACAGCTGATTCCAGAGACAGAACAGCACCACACCATCTCATCCTTTATCACACTTAAAGCCTTTGTTGCCTTTCCAAATGAAATGTGATCACATTCCTGGATTCAAAGCAGGCATTTATAAAGAGAGGTTATGAGCTCATAATTGTGAAGTTTTATTTTCCTATTAATTGCTGCAAGCCAGTTTGGGTTAGTTATCTGACATTTTAGTTACATTCCTTACCCTGTTCTTTTCTATTTCTAGCTTTTCAAATGTTAAGAAAATTGCCTTGATGAGAGAAAATTTACCTTGAAACCTACAACCGTTATTGCATTCAAATTTTTAGTTACTAGCTACACCTCTCAAGCTCAGACTGTACATCATGTTCCAAAGCACCTTTTGGACATTATCTACAGTATCAAAGTGGGAAAACTCTTTCAAAATACATCTATACACACAGACCTAGCTCACCATAGGTACTGCTTTAAAGTAATACTAGCTTAACACTAAAAAAAACCCTGAAATATCGTTTTCACTGTTGTGCCCATACAATGCAGCTTTCCTGCAATTATGAAGCCAAATTTTGGCAGAACACATGTACAGGTTAGAACTATAGTGATTCAATTTGTAAATACCACATACAAATGTGTCTGTGAAACTGGTTTTCACCTTAGCCCACAATCCTGGAGACAATTTGTTTTGCAGCTAGAAATTATACATCACTAGATGATATAAAAATCAAAAAGAAGAGTTATTAGCTTAATAACTGTAATAAAATTAAAATCCAGAGCCACACAATAAAGCAGCACTGTTTCCTATTATCTAGGAAATAGCAGTTGCCTTGTAGTCTAAGGAGCTGAGTTTTAAAACAACAGTTATTATGTATTAGGTCTTCATTTCAAAATGGAAGAGAAAGATGAATAACAGCAAGAAGCTCAGATCAAAGATGTTGCTGTTTCACCTTTCTTAACCTAGTAAAGGGTAAGATTCCAAAAAAAAGAAAAATTAAAGATTATTTCCTAAGATGATTCCTACATCAGTATTCATAGAAGACTTATAGAGAGGTAAGATCATGAGCTCATTTAAAAAATAAACAAGAGGGAAAGGCTGAGGCCAAGCCAGGGAGCAAGCTGACAGGCTCTATATGCCGATGGGGAGTGCCAGCAGCAGGTTTGGTTTCAGTAAAAAAAGCACACAGCTAAAAAAGTGCTCAGAAACACGAAGTTCAGTTTGTAGTCCGATGTAAACTGATGCAATCTTGGGCTGGTAAGTGTGCAAACAGATGGCTCATGTGACTCTCTTACTCAGAGCTTTCTCAGCAAATGGACATGGACTGACTTTGTTCAGTTTTCAGCAGCTGAGAATCAAGCCATGCAGCTGCTTAGCAAAGCTACAACGAGCAACCAAAGTTCTCCAACAACACTTCGCAGAACCTAAAACATGTGTGGAAGAGCCAGTATCCTCCCTTAGCTTCCAACAGCAGAGAGCCAAAGGAGGAGTAAAAAAGCTGGGTTATTTTTCTCCAGCCTTCTCACACACAACAGCCCCTTTTCCTCAACATTCGTCAGCCTTTGCAGTCAAAGAGGAAAACAAAGAATTCTTTTTCCCCTGTTCACCAGTCAGGGGGAACAGGGAAGCAAACATGGTTTCCAGTGCATCAGAGAGGCAACCAAAACTGAGCCATGAGAAGGAACACCCACAAAGTCCAGTGTCAAGACTCTCCCACCACAGACTTTTCCCTTTTCTAAACGCTGCAGTGATACAAAGGGCACAAGACACATCCACTCATAACACTGGTCAGGAACATCATGGCCTGAAGCATTAGCAATTGTGCTAAGACTGTGTGTCTTGAAGGGGAGGTAGGTAGAGGAGTGAATGAAGATTAAGAGAAGGACACACGAAAATCTTAGATGAGTCATGCATTAAAGAGAAGTGAAACTCAGTAGGAAACGGAAGTATAAAAAGCAAGAGAAATGCAAGTCTGCCTTAGAAATTATACATCTCAAACACTAATAACACAGCTATAGGCACTACAGAACAAGCGTGTCTTGAAGGGGAGGTAGGTAGAGGAGTGAATGAAGATTAAGAGAAGGACACACGAAAATCTTAGATGAGTCATGCATTAAAGAGAAGTGAAACTCAGTAGGAAACGGAAGTATAAAAAGCAAGAGAAATGCAAGTCTGCCTTAGAAATTATACATCTCAAACACTAATAACACAGCTATAGGCACTACAGAACAAGCATTTAATTGTTCCCAAACAGCATGCCCAAGAGGTGCAGTGACACAGGTATCTGAACTCAGCCTAGGTTAAATTTTTGTATGCTCTAGTCACATAGTGAGTCAACACTAGAGCCAGAAACAGAATCCAAAAACTCATGGACAAAATTTTCCTGGCATTTCCCCTCAGTCATCCCCATTGTGGGCACAATACTGGAAGCCAGAGTCAGCAGCAGTTCAGGAATACTGCCATTAGTTCTGGTAAGGGCAGAGCTAAACAAACACTGAGTAGAGCACTGCTGGCAGTGAGAATCCCATTTCCACTGGCACTACCAACCTCAGTGCCACCAACACAGCTGGACCAGCTTTATCAGCAGGGATATACATACATACAACATTGCTGGTGCAGGACAAACTTAAGTATCTTAATACCTAGTCAGCCTCTTGCTCCGTACCAGCAGGTCATGCTAATTATATATTAGACACATCACGTGGTGGCTATGTTTACTCCAAGAAATACAGCTGAGTTTCCTCCCTCTCACATCTATGCATGTGTGTGCACACATAGACAGAGGCACAGTGTATAATTTTAACCATGAGATTGCATAAAGAGGCTTCTTTGGGGGTTCTTGGAGAAACTAAAGTCATTTTCTCTTCCCTTTTTTTGTTTCAATATGCAGAATGGGGGTAAGTCAGAGCTATGTATTGATGAAGACTGTCAGGGTATATAGCTGGAGATTGGGTTTTCCCAGGTAACATAGGCACTAAAGGATCACAGAAGGTCACACACAGCTGATGAGATTGCATAAAGAGGCTTCTTTGGGGGTTCTTGGAGAAACTAAAGTCATTTTCTCTTCCCTTTTTTTGTTTCAATATGCAGAATGGGGGTAAGTCAGAGCTATGTATTGATGAAGACTGTCAGGGTATATAGCTGGAGATTGGGTTTTCCCAGGTAACATAGGCACTAAAGGATCACAGAAGGTCACACACAGCTGAGAGCACACAACATAGGCACTAAAGGATCACAGAAGGATCATACACAGCTAAGAGCACACAACATGTCAGTGGTATAAGGAGCTCACCAAGTTTCAAAGGGTGGGACCTGAGGTGCTATAATTAGCCTCCAAAAACCATTCTCACCCTCCCTATACCATCAGCCTGTACTAGACTGAAGTCACAGCAGCATGAACAGCCCTTTGTGTTTGATGGGTTTCATATAAACAACTCCACCTCACAGCACCACTCCTCTGGAGCAGTTCAGGGTAGCTGTGCAGCGGTGTTCTTAAGGCACAGCCTGTCCCCATGCTGTCACAGGTGATAACAGCAGCAGCCCAGGTGCAACTCAGGTTCTGGCAGACACAGACACTAACACACAGGGCCCTGCTTACATCAGTCAAACTCCTGCTACTACCTTGAGCAACCTGGTGTAGGGGGTAGGTGTCCCTGCCCAGGACAGGGGGTTGGGACTAGATGATCTGTAAGGTCCATTCCAACCCCTAAAATTCTATGATGTTACTGTGCGTTACACAAGCAATAGCAAAGAGGGAAAATGGAGAGAGAGTCCAGTGCTGGTACCATCACTCAGAAAATGTGACATCTGCAGCATATTGAGTTTTAAGGACTACCAATATCTGTCTGAAAACACAGGTCACCTTAAGAATCCACAACACCCAAGTTGCAATTGTCCTGGGCTGAGCACCAGCCAAATTTCTATCAGCTGGGGGAAAGTCCTTTTGCAGCACAGTAAATAGAGCAATGACTGGTAGGGAAGGACTACTCAGAGAGATGAAAATACAAATGATTGGGGGGAGATATAGCTGTTATCTAACCCCGAGAAAACATCTCAAAAGTTTACTTTCCCCACTGTGTCGCAACCGGCAACAACACAAAGGAATTGTGAAACTCATGTTTATGGTTTGTACAGAAAAGCACAGAATTTATGCTGAGTATCATCAGTGCATTGCTGAAGCTGCTGCTATCACCTGACATATATTCAGGTGACAGTCAGTACATTCACACTTCCTCCTTTTGGAGTTAGTTAAAAGAATTACTGGTCTAATGGCAAGACAAAACAAGGCAAAGGAGC